TTATTTTATTTTATTTTATTTTATTTTATATTATATTATTTTATATTATATTATATTGTATTGTATTGTGTTGTATTTTATTATATTATATCATATCATATTGTATTATACTATATTATATTATTTATATTATTACATTTCATTTTACTTCACTTTATTCTATTTTATTTTATTTTATTTCATTTTATTCTATTTTATGTAACCTTCTTTTGCCTTTCCCTGTTGTGGTACCGTAAAAAGGATTAGGAAGTGTTGGACAAAGATCAACGACACCAAATGTGTTTTGTGGATTCAACATGTACATTCATCCATAAATTATGGATGGCAGTGAAACAAATAGTGACAATAATGTTTGAAAATACTTTTAGCACCGATCGATGCGGCCGACAAAACCACCAAAGCTTTTTAAACGCTTGTTAGCCTTTCTGAAAAAACTCGCATGTCACCAGAGATTTTTCCATAATTCCACTCCACTGTTCTCCTCCGTTAGCGATTGTTTCAGCCGATGCTTTGGTCTTTTCAATTCCACTTCTCTTGCTTCTTCCGTTCCCTCTTCCTACCCTACCTCCCGATCGTCTTTTAACCCTTCCTCCACAGCCTGTTTCATCTTTCTCCCTCTCTTCTTAACTCCCACACATTCATAAAAAAAAAGAAAAAAATGGCAGAACAAGTGAAAAAAATCCTTTTTTTTTCTTTTTTATAAACCTAATCCAGTTTTTATAGTGTGATTTCTCTCTCTGTTCTACTTTTTCAGAGCACGAAAGCATTTGATTTTATGAGAATATTAAAATTTTCTGTCTTTTGTTTTCCCGATGCAGTAAATCATAACGCTGATTGATGTTGTTTTAGCACAAAAACACTTTTCTTGCTTTGCTTTGCATTTTTTTTTTGCGCCTTTCATATCAGTCACATTTCACTCAGAAGTCTTGCAGATGAAGCTAATTGAGGTTTTAACCAATTTTTCTTCATTCTATATGTGCACAAACAAACAAACAACTATACATGCATATTTACATATACTCAAATTTTTCTTTGCAGATCAAGAAAACCGACATTTTGGAAGTTTGGCAAAGGATAAAGACTTTCATCAAACAAATTCACTGTTACGAAGCAACAAAATCAACAGCATCTATATATATATATATATATATATATATATATAT